ACTGTGAGACGAGGTCTGTTGAATGCAGTGAAGAGGGCAGAGGAGGTACTGGGATAAATCTAGCTAGTATAAACAGCTACTCTGTTGAGAGCTGCCCTGAGCTCTGCCTTCCAGAAGGATCTGTTTGTGTTGATGCTGGTCATACATACTAAAAGCAACATATTCGGATATTGAGCACAAAGTAGGAGAGCAGTAAATATTTCTTGGATAAACAACCACATGACAGCAGCTTTTTCCTCATTTATTGACATTTTAATATGCTTCAAATAGTGGATTCATGACAATGCACATTGTGCCTCTTGCTGAAATGATTGTCCCTATTTCATGTATGAAGAATAATGAGGACTTACTTTATGTCCCAGTTTTGGAAGCAGTAATGATGGAGCAGGACTGAACCCTGGCTCTGCTGGATTCTGAATTTTGGCCTTTTACAAAGTTGTTCTGGAGATGGACCTCAGAGTCTCCTACATGCTAGGCAAGTGCTCTACCATTAAGGTCAAACCCCAGACCATTTTACAAAAATTTAAGGCAGAAAGTGCTATCCCCCCAACTCACTCTCACTCTCTCTCTCTCACTCTCTCTCTCTCTCTCTCTCTCTCTCTCTCTCTCACACACACACACACACACACACTCTCATAGACACTGAGTCTCGGTATGTTCACTATTCCTGAAGCCCACTTTTTTTTAAAAAACAAAGTTTATTTAAAAATATAGTGAAATGACATCATTGTTCAAAATAGGTTTTACTAAAAACTCTGAATTGTTGGAATATATATATATATATTTATGAGAGAGAAATAGGGATGGATAGATAGATAGATAGATAGATAGATAGATAGATAGATATGAATGTAACTGAAGTGTAAGCTTATCCTTTTCTGCCTTGATGTCATAAGAAGGAAACAGAGATCCTTCATGTTATGTGATTTATAATTAGAAGCCCAGTCACTAGGCAAGGTATTTTTAAACCACATTAATTTCTTATGTTTCTGGTTAATGTAAAAAATGAAGCCAGTTGAAAGTGGTCTGTGTGAGGTTAGTGCATGAATGGATTTTAATTTTCTAATAATTTGTTATTGTTTGCTCCACCCTCATACCCAACCCAGATATCAGAAATCTAATTTTCTAATGACATCATTCCACCTCTGGCAACTGGCTGTGATAGAGGATTCGGTCCATGAACATCAGCAGCACATGAACTTGAAGGAACAGATGGGATATGGAGATAATTTTAAGCATTTATGATATAATTTAAAATAACACCCAGAATTAGTCTGCATTTTCCAAGTTTTCTTTTTAAATGTAGCACTTAACTTTGACAATAGTATTCTTTGAGATTCAAAATGTGCCCTCAGAGTATAGCTAAGTGCAGCTCCTTGCCAGTCCTCCCTGCAAAGAACCCTCCCTGAGGACTAGGTCTACAAGGATGGCAGCTCTGCCCGCCACCAATGCCTTGCTACTTCCCCTGGCCTTGTTCTATCTATACTTCTGTTCTCTCTCAGCCCCACCTCTTCTATTGGGTTCTGTAATGATCATAATGCCAACTTGATGGAATCCAGAATCATCTAGAAGATAAGCCTTTAAGCATTCCCTTGAAGGATTATTTACCCTCTGGGCACGCCTGGGGGTGGTTAATTGAGGTGGGAAGAACGTGGGTAGCTTCATTTCTGTGGGCTTGGTCCTGGACTGCTTAAAAAGGAGAAAGTGAGACGCGCATGCCATTGGTCATTCTGCTTCCTAACTGTGACCAGCTCCTCCGACACTCAGTTCCTGCCTTGCTGGACTATGACCTCAAACAGCAAGCTGAAATGGACTGTCTCCCCCTTAAGTTACTTTTGCCAGGGTGTTTTATCACAGCAACTGGAGAAGAAGCAATAGATAGGCTTCTTCCAGTCTGGGAACCTCACAAGGAGTGTTGGGAAGGTTTTCCGTGTTCAAGACCTTGAGCTGGTTACTGGACAATGAGAATTCTGAAGTTACACAGATGTACTTTGCTTTCTGAATGAGATGATGTATTCACTACTGAAAGGATTTTGCAGGCCCAGGGGGGTGGGAAAGCAACACAGAATGGTGGTTGTTTAAAGAAGAAGCTACAAAACTCACTGACAGTGCAATTTTAATGCTAATTTAAGATACAACCCATTAGAAGAGATTTTCAACTTTCTGAATAAGGTTAGAACAACTTGTGAGATTGTTTTTGTGAATCCTGTAAAGCATCTTGTAATAAGTACATAAAGCAATGGCACTGCTTGCACCCATTCTTAATGAGATTAAGCTATAATAGCAATCTTTCCATCTTTCACTCCTACTCACAGCACTTTCTTTTCAGCATTCCCTGAACACTTCCTATCTGCTGTTTGGTTATTGCTGTCACCTACTGTCTCAAAATAAAACTGCAGTGGGTTTCCAAGAGATTCCTAGTGTTGTGCACTTACAAGAAACTGTTATTGAAGAGTGGGATGGCACTCAAAGTTTCCCTCAGAAGATTTGATAGTACAGCCTGCTGAAATGGTCTGACAATCGGAGTAGCAGGAGAAATGGCAGGCAGATTTGTTAACACACATGTACACTGAGACCCACAAATGGGCAGTTAAAGTCAGATGGTTAAAAGTTTAATACCCTCCCCATAGGGAAGGAGTGTAGGAGGAATATAGGTAGTTGTAGAGGGGTAAGAAATGATTTTAGAAGTGATGAATAGTACAGAGAAGAGATAACGACCTCGGATAAAATTCCTCCAATCGTAGGCATGATGTTTCAGTTTCATTGGTGACTTGAGCATTTAGTGGGTCCAGTCTTTAAAAAGTGATGATGACTTCAGAGCTTCATCCAGTATCTGCTGACTCCAAAGTGCCTTGAATATAAAATTTCAGCATCCCAAAATACTGTGTTTGGAGCTACTCTTTCCTTAGAGCTGAGAGGAGTAACAATTGTTCACAGCACAATGAACTGATTACTCCCTGGGAGAGATGACAGCTAGCCGGTATGCTACTGCAGAAGACGCATCCAGGGAAATGGAGGGCTCAAGAGTCCTCCTCCCTACTCTGTATTTGCCATGGTGAGTTTGACATGTTTTTACTCATAAATCTAGACTTGATGCTCCAAAATCCTGTTCTAGACTTCACAGTTTTTGTTGGGCACGTAGGATACTAAATGCAGTTCTACTGCATGATAGTTTATGGACCAATGAGTTGTTTTTTTTTTTTTCTTAATATGGCTCTGTTTGATAGCTTTCCCTATTTTCATTGTATGAGCGGACAGGATTGCTAGTTTCCTTTGCTCAGTTAGCAGAGGCAGATCAGAAAGCTGTCTGCTGTTAAACTTTAACCAGAATAATGCTCCCTAGCTTGCTGAGTTATCTATGTGCTTCCTTAGTTCAATTTTATGCTTATAGCACATGCTAAGATAGCAAGTCAACTGTTCTACTTACAAAGTTCTAGATTTCAGAACAATAATAAAAATAGCCCACCAGTTTTGGCTCTTAAAAGATTTATAATTTTTGGTTTAATTTTTAACATCCTTTATAAGTGTGATTGCTGAGACACTTGGTAGAGGGGGGGAATAAGATAAAAATTGATCTAGACCAATGGGTAGGCATGAGTCCTATCCATTGGCTTTCCTGTTTTCAGATGATGAACGATTCAAGGCATCCTTGCAGACTCCAGTAACAGATTTAGTTCAATATAGAACACGATCTCACTCCTTCCTACTCTTAATTATTAGAAAAGGTATGCCTATCAGGTCTATCTGGCTGTAGAAAACTGATCGTAATTTTGTTATCTTCTTGCAACTGAAACTTTTCTAGTGGTTTGGTTTTGTTAAACATTGCTAACAGTATTTATTTTCCAGTTATTACTGGTCACTTTGCGTTCGTGAATTACGGGTAAAGGTGTATGGCAGTTTTAGTGATTAAAGTTTAGTTTCTGCAGTCAAACTTCTGAGTTTGAATTTTGGCATAGTTTGCCCTGTAATCTTGGTCATGTTCCTTTTTAAGTGCTGTGGATTTTAGTTTCTAGAGTATAGTTTAGAAATTACCTAATGGGCTTCTTGTAGCAATTAAATGTAGATAAATAGATAATCTATTTTGTGAGTTAATTAGTTTATGTAAAGTCAGGGATATTTCATCCATCTTGAGAATGTTCCTTATTTAGTATTTGTCTTTGTCTTTCTAGAGAAAACATTGATAACTGAGTATTCAAATATAGGACCTAATATGTATAAATGTATTCAAATAATCTATAGGCTTATCTTACATCGCCAAGCTGAGGTTAGATGATAATGCAGGGAGAGTTCAAAGAAAGCTATTACCTCAGCCTTCCATGAACTGTTTATTAGAGATACTTGGTCTGACCTACCCTCCTAGCTACCACAAGAAAACCTCGAAGTCAGGCTCTCTAGAAATGGACTATCGTGACACTGGACCCTTTGTTGTGAAATCATTGATTCTTTGGGTTGGGAACCATTCTCTTCCTACTAGGTTATAAACACATGATATGAGAACCCTTCCCTTTCCTTCTGCCCTTTCTAGTCCCTAGCACCACATGCCTTGCCTACAAGCATGTGGCAAATATTTGTCACATGACTGAGTAAACTCTTACATTAGCAGTAAGCAGGCAGAGATGTGAACTGGACATGACTTATTCAGGTCACACATTTTATGCCACGGCTGTAGCTAGAACCCAAGTTTCCAGTCCCCTGCACTGTGCATTCTCTGTTCTTTCTACTATAACATGAAGGTATAAGGAGCAGAGCAATTGACTGGCATTATCTACAGATGACTAGTACAGAGGGAGAACACATGTTCCAGAGAGTTAGCCTGAGGGGCGGAGGCATGTAGGTCGTAAGTACCAAAAGACTTCATGAAGTAAAGAACATTTAAACTGGAATAATGAGGATTTTAGATATAACTTTATATGTATCATTTAAGTCATGACAGGTTAATCTTAATATTTCAGTATATTATTAAAATAAATATACTAGCTAACAGTCTTGTCTTATTTCAGTGAACAACGTGGGGATGTCATACGAGTATCCAGAATACTTTTTGGAAGTTCCTGACTTGGACAATGTGAGTCTTTGTTTATTATGATAACAAAAAGAAAGCTGAAAGTATCAGTGAGACAGTGTAGAAGAATGATTCAGACTGACAGCTATCTGCAGTTCATAGCTTGGCTCTTATGGGAATGATCCTAACCAAAGGTAGCTTGTGTATTTACCCACAAATGTAAAATGGGCAGCTTCATAGCAATGCTAGAAGGATTGAATGAAAAATATTTATAATGTCATTTATACAGTGCCGGGATCAATAGTAGCTGTAATTTCATTATTATTGTTTTCATTAGATTAAGATAACTCTATTTTAAGAATTGGGACATCAAAAAATCAGTTTAAAAACTCATAAATATGTTAATATATAGCAGCATAGTTGACTGAAGTAAACTAGCTTTACCAAAATGAAATCTGCAGTCTTGATTCATGTATATTCCTTTAATGAAAACTAAGAGTCACATCCCAGAAAGACTATGTCAGTTTTTAAAATCACTTGAAACTCTTAACTGCAGTCATCTCCATTTCCCCATTAGTTGAGAGGAAATTATTAAGTGTTTTATTTTGGATTTAGTGTGTCTCTTTACTTTCAAAGCAAAAATCTACCTTTTGACCCCAGCTCCTATTGTATTTATAGGTCTTTGCAATATCTGAAAAAGATTCAGATGTGTGCCCCACAAGTATATTTATAACATCATTACTTTCCTAATAAAATTACATTAAATTATCCATTTTTTTGCAGACCATCAAGAAACTGATAAATATTAATGTTCTTTCCGTTTGCAAGGTAAGCAGATTTGTTACAAATCTGTCATCTTTTTTGGCTCTATCTAAAAATACTGATACAGAGTCCATTGGCTCAGTTCTGTCAACTATTATTTGATCTGTGTATTCCAGGTGAATGTGGTCTTATTTCCTTAAGTCTCCAGAAATCAGGAAGAACTGACCCCCAAACACACTTGTCTTAATATGCTTTCTAACAACCTAACAATTCTCATGTGTCTTCTGTACACATTCACCATGGTTGATACCACAACTGACTGCAAAATCTATCTTAGATTCAAGGATGACTGACCTGAGCCATTTGCTTTGATTTATTTTCATTCCAATGTATGTAGTAATTCACTGTTACATGGGAAGCCAGGATTCTAGAAACCAATGAGTAGTTTTTTATTAGCTGTAAATAATAACTAGCTAGGAGAACCTGGCTTGGTGGCAAATACCTTGTTATATCAGCACAAGGAGGCAGAGGCAGGCAGAGCTCTATGAGTTTAAGTCTAGACTGGTCTACATAGTGAGTTCTAGACCAACCAGGGATGCACAGCGAGAGCCTGTCTCAAAAACAAAACAAAAACAAGAACAATAAAGATATCCAGCCTGGTCACTAGTTGCTCAGTATGTGTTATAGTCATTTTACTCAATGTATAACACAAGATTATTATTGTGACTCCTTGAAAGGAGCAATAGCTAGAGAGTATAAACACCTAATCTCTACGTTAACAGGAGCTATGGAGGTTACTACTGACTTACTTATACCAAATGACGGGGAAGTATTGCCACAGGCAGAATTCCCATGAGGAGTGTCAGACACTTTAAATCTGAACATTCTTGTAGAAAGCCACTGCACTTTAATAGCTCATGTATATACTAATTTATTTAAGGAAATGAGAAATAGTTTGTCAGAACTATTCAAAATGATAGGTAAATACAATTAAGAATTAAATGTTTCACTTCGTGGCGGGATCTTGATGTTTTTCTCTTGTGAATTTTCAAGAATAACTATCTCTGTGTCTTTGTATCCCAAGAGAAACAAACCCCCACATGGCTGGTTCAAGTCCAAACATCTAGTACTATACACCTGACCTGACTTTTTTTGTATGGCTTTGCTTTTCCTGTGTAATGTAAATGTTAATTCAGTGTAATATAAACGTGAGAGGGGGGGGGAGAGGGAGATTTGGCTTTTATATAAACTAAAGTGAGCAGATGAACTACCAGTGGAGATATGAGTAGATAAAGAGCAAGACCTGCATTTGTGAAACTCATGCTCTTAAATGTGGCTAATAGGAATATATTATATAGTTTTAAGGGCATTTTCTTTACCAGATTCATATAAATGTTTACCCTTTAGCAATCTTTCTAGGATTTTATGATAATTAAGAAACTGCCATTTTCTAACCATTTTAGTCTTGGGGTCTGGAATGCTCCCTTTTTTCACTTTAGTTTTCATCTGTAAATTGAAGATGATATATCTCTTTTCCTCAGTGACTTGTTTGAATGAAACAAGGTAATGTCTCTAAAACTCAGAGTTGGGGATGTAGCTCAGAAGGTAGAGTGCTTGCTTAGGATGGCACAAAGTCTTGGATTCAATCCTTAGAACCTCATAAAGCCAGGCATGGTCATGTGTGCCTTAGGAAGTAGAAGACAGGACAGAAGGACCAGAAATTGAAGATCATTCTTGCCAGGCTGAACTATATGAGATCCTGGAGAGAGGGTCAAAAGTGAGTGAAGAGACAGACAGACAAAAGGGGAGGGAAGGAAGGAGGGAAAAAGAGAGAGACCCTAAAAATGTTATTATTGCTACTAAACTCAAAGTTGTTCATTTTTACATAATATATGTAATAATGATTTTATTTTTTTTAGAAAAAAGGTTTTAAATAAAAATTGTTACAAATTATATTCTGTTATTGCTATGTCTTGTGAGATTATCCTTTAAAATGAATAGTTTTACTGTTGCTCTTTTTTTATGTTGTATTTGGCCAAATGATTGAAAATAATAAGTGTTACGGCAGTGTGAAGTGTTTCACAACATATTGTCCTAAGTTAATGAGAAAACTTTGTTTAAGTGCTTAAGCTTTATGTTGTAGAATTCTTCATACCAGCTATGGGTTTGTCTACTGATAACTTCCATTCTCTGTCAATCAGCTGTGTAGGTTTTACTATGGATCCTAGTCTTTTGTCTTACAGTCCTGCTTGCTTCATTGTTGACTCTGCTTTAAAATGCTGTCCTCCTGTTTACCAAAGCATGGATTTTTGGCTGGCCATCTGTAGAATACTAATGAAGAAAGGCTGAGGCCTTGCTCTCCAACCACAGACCGTGTCCTTCACACAGCATCTTAGCACAGAAAAGCGTGTGATCCATCTCATTCTTGCTTAAAGACCAAATAGCGCTGGTGTGTGCCATGGATAAAATAGCACAAATTCAGCAGCCCTGCAAAGTAACTAGTCCCTTTAAAAAGTGATGATAAATGCCAGGAGACATGATGCATACTTGGTAATCCCAGGACTTGGGGGACTAAGGCAGGAGAAACAGGAGTTTGATACTAGCCTGACATACATAGTGAACCCCTATCTTAAGAGAAGAGAGGGGGAACTAGTAATGGGATATTGGTGTGTTACACGCTTATCTCTCCCTCTTTATTCTTCCTCTTCCCCATTCTCATTTTGAGTTGGCATATGTAAGCTGGTTCCCATGAACTGGCTTCATGGACATGGATGTTCATTTTTTAAGCACTTGTGAACCATCCTGAGGGGAAGCATCACCAGTAGAAGATTTGGATATAAGCTTAAAATTTATACAAACCTTCTTTTATAGACCAGATCCTATTTTAAAAGCGCTAAGGGAATTTACTGTTTAAAATACTTCCTCAATAAGTTGAATAATCATTCTTTAGTCAGTCTTAAGTATGAATCTAAACTTTTATATCATTGTGATGTAAACTTTGAATGGAAAAGCATTCAGAATTCCATGGTGCACAGTTGGGTTTGTTTTGTTATACTGTGGTTAAGATCAATAAATTGCCTCCCTGGTATAATGGAGATGTGAAAATGGTTTGATTGGAGCAATGAGAGTCATCAGTGAACTGTGGTAAACCTAGAGGTGGAAGAGGACATGAGATCAGGCTTGTATAGGAACTTGGGTGTTCAACAGATAGAGAACCATGGAGAGCTGCCGAATCCAGTGTATTGTGAGACAGTGCTAGTGGTAGAATGATAGAGTATTTCAGTTTTCTATGGCATATATGTTTATCTTAGTTATATTGAGGAAGGGCATTCCCTGTGTTCAAGCTTTGTGTGTGTGACTGAGTTTAGTCTTATGATGCTGTGATTTGCCCCAGAAGCTATTTCAATGACTTGTACCTATTGTTCTTTAACTGATTGCATTTTTGTCAAGGCCAGAATGACTTCTGTGAGCCTTGAGGTAACTTAAAAGGAGATGAAGACTGGTTTGTCTATAGGATCTTAGGTTTTCTGGTGGTTAGGCATCGGGGGGGAGAACTAAGGCACAGGTGTCTAGCCTGAAGCTTCAATAAGTGTATTCGGTAAGATTGGAGCAGTCTCTCTTCACCATCAGGCTCATTGTTTTCATGTCTTTACCAAATGATAAGGTACCTTTATAGAGGTACCAGGAGATGTTGGGGAGATCAGCTTGCCATGTTGTTTGGGGTTCATGCTCAAAATTAGAGGTAGAGCCTCTAATCTTGTTGAAAGATTCATGTGTTCCTGCCCTGCATGAGTGGGTCAGGTGATTGTATAAATCATGTAAGCCCTGCATTATAATAGTAAAATAATCCTGGATTCAAAGGAATTTCAGGCCATCACTGGGTAATGAGGTGATCCAGGAGAATGTTGGAGAAAAAATATTAACTGGAGTAGTGTGGTCCCAGACCCCACTGAATGGTTGTAAACCACCATATGGGGGCTGGGAACCCAAACCTAGGTCTTTTGTGAGAGCAGTTAGTGGTCTTAACCACTGAGCCCTCTCTCCAGCCCTGGTTGCTTCACTTTTGAACCTTGTCCAGTGGCTTGGGCTTTCTCTGTGTGCCTCACTTTATTAGTCTTTGCTTCATTATAAAGCCTTGTTGCTTGCTTTTCTAGTGTTGCTCTTGGGTCCTTTCAGGATTAGATTTAGCCTTGTTTTTGTTCCCTCTCCTGCAGCTAAGTGGCAGAAGTTCTGTAAAGATGGACAGTATGACAGATGAAGAAGAATCCTACCAGGCCGTGTTTCCCCCAGTTTCAGTTGTTCTGTGACTAAAATCTCAGATAAACCTCATAAGAACAAAGACCATCACTCCAGAAATAGTGTGATTTAGAGACAAACTTGAGGATATTGAACCACCTCTTGTCAAATAGTTCCTGTTTTGTGCCTATTGGGATTTCCATCCTAGAATACTGAGAACACTGTCTATATAGTATAACCCTACTCACAGCCCCTGCCTAAAGGAAGCAAAAACATTCCTTCCAATGGTCCTCACCCCTGAAGCTCCTACTGGTCTTGGTAAATAAGACACAAGTTGGAAAAATCAAGGCTTCCATCCTAACAGAGGGAATATTCTAACCTTAGTTACCTTCCTTAGAACAGAGAAGAAAATGTATGGTGGTAAAATTTATGAACACATCCACTTGAGTAAATGCTGTTAATTGTGGTATTTGCTTTATTGAGGAATAGAAAGGAGTAATCTCAAGAAGAGAGTAAGAAGTTGTGTGTTCCTTTGTCAAACACTCAACCAGTGTAGAACTGGAAATCTTGTCTTGTTAGGGCTGGAGTGACAGGGACATGTATGTGTCTCTTCTAGACTATTAGGCTTGGAGTCACATGGGCCCGTGGCACACTGCATGGCTTCCTTTCACTTTGCAGTTCTTAGCATGGAGCTGTTTATACATGAGCATTGGCACTGTGAACATTGGCACTGTGTCCCACTTGTTCCCTGCCTTATGCTAAGCAGTACTCAGCTGATGTTTTTCCTACAGATGAGTGCATTTTAAAAATGAGAACTTCTGGTTCTTAAA